AATGGACTCAGCGGTAACGGGTTTTGGGTTTGAGCTATTATCTCGAGAAGCATGTGACTTCTGGACAAATAGGTGGGAAATTGCATCTTTAAGACTGGTCAGGGTACGACTTCACTTTCTTAGAGTGGGGAAATGGGAGATGTGTGCAGATTATAAGTATATTCACAAATATAAATTTCTTTAAATTAACACTAGAAAAGGACTAGTATTTAAAACCTGGAGGAGATAGGAAAAGCCAGGAGTGATGTATTCTAATTATGCTAATAGTCAAATTGATCCTTCTTGCAGGCCACAGATCAATCTGGCCTGTACGCCTGGGTTAGAAAAACATTTTTAAAAGCAGAATGTACTCTAAAAAGAAAATAACAAAATCAGAATGAATTGTTTTTACCAGGAAAAAATATTTAACATACTGGATGTGTTCAAAGGTTTTTATTATTATTTTTTTCTTTTCCTTTTTTTTTCTGTTTAACCTAAGGCCGTGAAATGCTCCTGCTCTGCATTAAAAATAACAGGCAGCTTTTTCTTTTGTATTTTTACAAATATTTTCATCTCTGAGACTAGATACCTCTAGCTTCTAGCTAACAACATGTCCAGAAAGAACGTCGATTTGCTCTAGAAGCAATTACACATGCAGTTGAGGAAAAAGCCAATTTTACTCTGCAAGGACCACACATACTGCATGTTTGTTATATTATTTGATATCAAAGCAGAAACATCAACTTCTTCCTAAAACACACATGAAATGAAGAGCCTGGCTAAGGAACTCCCACAACCCAATGTAGAGATATCTGTTACAGCTTTACAGAACTCAGCAACGCTGACATTACTGTATTACGGGAAAGGCATGCTTTTATTGACTATATAATGTGCTATGATTTCTATAACTTTATATATATTTTGGGTGAAATGAACATGATTTTGATTCTACTTGTCATAAAAGCAGGTATATTATAAATGTGAGATGCTTAGGTACTACATTGCCAGAGTAACAGCAAGAAGAACTTGATCATCTCCTGTCACCAGGTGACCTCAGAATATTTCGTGAGGCATCTAGATCATTATCATTACTATAACATGAAAGGAGTGATCTACACCAAGAATTATCATCCTTGATTCATTTGGTATAATTATGATGTTGGCGTGATGACTTTCATTCATTTGTTCAGCGTATGCTTACTGAATGTCTCTACTCAGTGCCAGACATAATAAATCAGGGTGGCACATCGCGTGCGCGTGCGCGCGTGTGTGTATGTGTGTGTGTATTTCAGCCAGCATGTGGTAGAGAAAAGACAGTCAGGAAGAGTGAAACTTGAGCTCATCCTTCAGTGAAGAGGGGTAGTGTCTTGAATGGAATAGGGAGCTGGGTCCTCCAGGAATAGGGAATAACATGTGAAAACCATGAGAGTGTGAGAGACCAGAGAACTGCAAACCGTTTGCTACTCCTAGAGCATGTCTGTAAATGGGACATGAGCCTAGAGAAAAAAGGAGGGCCACACCAGGGACACACCTATACACCATGATAAGGACTTTGGACTTTATATTCCAGGGCATAGTTTAAATATTTCCAAAATACTTTAAAGATGTAATAATTAAAACAGTGTAATACTGGAATAGAGCTAGATTAAATTAATGAAACAGAATAGAAAATGGAGAAATATAATAGAAAATCTTAATTACATATATGTGAAAGTTTAATATATGAAAAAGGTAGCATTTCAAATTACTAGGTGTCTTAGTTATCTAGCACTGCCATAACAGAAATACCACAAGCAGATGGCTTTAACAGGTAAAAATTTATTCTCTCACAGTTTAGGTGCCTAGAAGTCTGAAATCAGGGTGCCAGCTCTAGGGGAAGGCTTTCTCTCTCTGTTGGCTCTGGGGGAAGGTCTTTGTCTCCTTTCAAGATCTGTGGGCCTGGCATTCCTAGGAGATCTCCGTGTGTCTTGGCATCAATCTTCCCCTGGGTCTAGGAGGTTTTCAGCCCAGGGACCCTGGGTCCAAAGAAGGACACGTTCTTCTACCAGCTCTTCTTTCTTGGTAGTAGGAGTTCCATCTTTCTCTGCTTGTTTCTCTCTACTTTTTTCTCTTGTAAGTTAAAAGGTGATGCAGGCCACACCCCAGGGAAACTGCCCTTACATCATATCAGGGCTGTGACCTGAGTAAGGGTGTTGCATCCCACCCTAATCCTTATGACCTAATCTTGCCTCCTTAATTTAACTGACAGCTCACTCCCAAATGGGACTATAACCACAAGCATAGAGGCTAGGATTTACAACACATCACAAAATGGAGGATAATCAGATCACAAAATTGAGGACAACCACACAATACTGGAAATCATAGCCTAGCCAAGTTGACACATATTTTGGGGGGATAAAATTCAATCCATGACAGTGGGTAAAGGATGGATTTTTCAACAAGTGGTGTTTGGACAATTGACTATTTGAAAATCAGATTTAATTCCCATATACCACCAATCAAAACCAAACCCGTTGCTGTCAAGTTGATTCTGACTCTTAATGACCCTATAGGATGGAGCTGAACTGCCCCATAGGGTTTCTAAGGCTGTAGTCTTTATGGAAGCAGACTGCCACATATTTCTCCCATGGAGCTGCTGAGGGGTTCGAACCACTGACCTTTCCATTAGCAGCCCAGCACTTAACCACTGCACCACTGGGCTCCTTCCCATATACCACAGAAAAAAATCTTAGCTGGATTAAAGATTTAAGTATAAAAAAATACCAGAAGAAAATGTCCATAATCTTGAGGTTAGGGAATTTTTTAAAAACGTGACATCAAGGATAGATATGATCATATAAAATCACAGTCTTAAAAAGAATTACAAACTTGTGAAAGGTGTAAGACTTTATAGTTGTAAGACAAATGACAAGCTGGGAAAAATATTTGCAATCTACATAACTGTCAAAAGATTTGTTGTTGCTGCGTGCTGTCAAGTCAATTCTGACTCATAGCAACCTTATAGCACAAAGTAGAACTGTCCCATAGAGTTGCCTAGGCTATAATCTTTATGGGGAGCCCTGGTGGTGAAGTGGTTAGGTGCTGGCTGCTAACCAAAAGGTCAGCAGTTCGAATCCACCAGGCGCTCCTTGGAAACCCTGTGCGGCAGTTCTACTCTGTCCTCTAGAGTCTAGGGTCGCTATGAGTGGGAATTGGCTTGATGGCAATGGGTAAATCTTTATGGGAGCATATCACCAGCTCTCTTCTCCCTTGGCGCACTGGTGGGTTAGAACTGCCTACCTTCCCATTAGCAGCCAAGCTCTTAACCATTGCGCCACCAGGTTCCTTTTATCAGAAGATTAGTACCTATAATATATACTGAGCTCCTACATAACCTAATAGAAATGTGCAAAGGGCACAAATAGGCAATTCATGAAAGAATGATAGCTAATAATATAAAAGTATGCTCAATTCCAGTAACAATCAAAGGAATACAATCAAAAGTTTTATTGCTCATGTATGGTCATTCTGGAGCCCTGGTGGTGCAGTGGTTAAGAGCTCAGTTGCTAACCAAAAGGTCAGCAGTTCGAATCCACCAGCCATTCCTTGGAAGCCCTATGGGGCAGTTCTTTCTACTCTGTCCTATAGGGTTGCTATGAGTTGGAATCGACTCAAAGGCAGGTTTGATTTGGTTTTATCAGACCGTAAACAGGAGATGCATGAGCAACAGATCGTATCAAATAATGACTGATAATGTCAGTGTTTGAGAGAGTGTGGGGAAGTGGGACTTCTCAAATACTAAGGGTATAAAATTGGTACATACTTTTTGGAAGGTAGTTTGGCAATATCTATAATTTAAAATGTGCGTCTCATTTGATCCTGTAAGTCCATGGCTAGAAACCAGGGCTTGTAACTGCTTCTTCCCAGTTTAGTCATGGCGGAGGATGTGAAGCCGGAACAGAATATTTATTGCTCTGTTGTGTATAACAGAGCCCTGGTGGTGCAGTGGTTAAGACCTGGGCTATTAACTGTCTAGAGAGGTAGTGAATTACAGTAGTTAAGAGCATGAATTTTGGAATCAAACAGACCTAGACTTGAGTCCAAGCTCTACTACTTAACAGTTATGTGAACTTGGGAAAATTGCTTAACTTCTCTGAGTCTTGGTTTTTCCATCCATCCAATTGGAATGGATCCTAATAGAATCTACCTCACAGAGTTGTAAGGAAAATTCCTTGTACGTAGTAGAGGCTAAATATATACTAGTTATTATTCATAGCCATCCTATATGAGTCAGCATTGACTCGATGGCAAAGGGTTTGGTTTTTTTTGGTATTATTATTATTACTGTTATTGCTTTTGTATAATTATTATTTTCAACCAATCCTCTTATGAAAAGAACTTTCAAAAACAAATCTAATAATATTCTTTGGAAAATTATGCTAGATAGAGTCTTTAACTGAATCTACATATCAAAGACAATTTTAGTTTATGTAACCAAAATAGTACATTTATCTGCTCATCTAATATATAATTAGGATAATAGAGTTGACCCATTAATGTTTGACACAGATCTGTTTTAGTCTCATATTCATAAACCACAGCATAAAAAAGGAAAGCACTTGAGCATTATATTTAAGTATCAAAATAAAGAACTGTTGAGTTTAGATAGCTCCAGTTATAAGAACTTTACAAAGCCTTCATGCCATAAATCAGAAGTTGTTCTCTAGTCATTAAACTTATTACTAATATCCTTTTGTGATAGTTTCCATTGTGCATATATTCAGTTTTCAATCGTATAAAACACAACAAAGCAGCGAGGTACCTTTGCAAATGTTCTCTTCCCTGATAAAACTAGAAAAATAAACCATTCAAAATGAGAAAACATGGTAAGTAGAAAACCTTTGTGAGGAAATGCGATTAACTTTATTGACAAAAATAAAAAAAGTTACCAAGTCTTCATCAGTCTAAGAATAATTTTGTATGCACACACCCACACTCCTATATCCACACAGAGTCTACGTATAAAGAAGCATACATACCCTTCTGTTCGGCTAATCACTCGAAAACTGTCTCCTAAGCTTTTGTAATGGTTTGGATCAGTTGTGCCTCTCTGAATCTGGAATCTAGAAACAAAATCAATCAAACAAACAAACAAAAAGACAAGTTAAGGATTTTGCCAAATAGTTTTTCTCATTTTTCAAAGCCTTAGGAAACTCAGCTTTTTCAGATAAATCTAAAATATTCTGGTCTTTGTTATAATTTTTATTGATTTATTTGCCTTATATAATCTTTACCTTAATTTTGTAGCTTTTAAAATTCTGATATTTCTCTGTATTTTAATAGAAACTACAGAATTTTTTTCATCTGTTTCTTAGCTAGGCAGAAGCACCCTGAGGCATTTATACTTCTTTTCTTTTGTGGAAAGCTTACACAGATGTCATAGATTGTTTTAATGTATAATTCAGAATTCTGAAGATGCATATGAAACAAATAAGTAGCTCCATTTCTTATCTTAATTAGTGTTGCTTGATGGTAATTTAATACAAAGGTTAAAAATACAGAGCAGCTAATACAACCTAACTTTGATTCTGATTGTGAATTTGGAATTCATTCTGGCAGACAGGAGCCTGTTCTTGGAGCAAGAGTTGGGGGTCACATTACTATACAGTTTATTCTCACCACTTCATGATGAAACAGGATTGGTCATTATAGGTAGTTCAGGCTACCTTAATCTTCTCAGAAGTACAGTGCTTTGCATATAGTTAGTGCTCAATAAAAGATATCCCATTTTAGAACACTAATTTTTTTTCCTTCTGTTTGAATATGATCACGCATCTCAGAACTCTAGCCTTCAAATGCAGAAGTTTCCAGTATGAGGGTCTTAACTTTTTATTTTGTATTGCCTTGCAAATAATATTCTACAAGTCTATACCTACTATTGGCAAAGTTTAAAATATTATACATATTCACCTTCATAATGGTTTTGTTTGACAAACACCGATACTGGCATTCTCAGTTTTTGAAGGTTAGTTTCTGGACAAGAACTATATCGCCTAAATTTGAACTGCATAGAGCCTATAAGAAGACTTTTAGCTAGCTCATTTAAACTGGCACAATTCCTGTTCTGGATACAGAGGTGCATCTGGTGTGAGTATAACTACTAGCCTGAAAAACTCAGTAAGGGGCTCTTCCTGTCTGGGACCTAGAACAAGATTTGATGATCATGTAGATTCACCATGCTTGAATATTTCTGGACTATAGCATTTGGATGATATAACTTGGTACTTTGGATACAAATGACTTAACACTGAACACAAAACACCACCATGGGAGAATTATAGAAAAATTTATACAACAAATAACTTTGGAACATAGAGAACAATTTCCAAAATATGACTTTGGTTCTAGTTCAAATATAAATATCCATCCCTTTGCATTTTCATATCTATAACCTATATTCACTGCTGGTTATGAAACACTTTCTTACGCCTAGTGGAAAAATCAAAGACTCTTCTTTAACTATCCTTTTAAGAAAATTATTTTAAATAATTTTATATATTATAAAAGTACTACATGCTCATGGATTTTTCACATAATGTTTGTAATAATCTTTTATTCCATTCATTTACCTACGTCAAATTCCTTTCTAGATAGATGCTTTTCTCCTCAATCACCAAGTTTTCTTTTTTATATTTGTCATATGATATAAAATGCTAAGGTTTTACAAAAACCCGGGGCATTATCTCACTCTCAAGAGCACGAGACAGAAATATGAGAAAAAATAATTAGTATATAGGAAAAAATATCCAAAATGTCAAGTAGCATCAGCACTGAGTTGCCCAGGTGTTCATCGGGGGTGGGGGTGGGGCAATTACCGCTTTCTACGGAGGGTCAGGAAGGGTTTCAGGAAGAGACAGGATTTGAGCTGGTCCTCATGGGATTCAGAGAGGCAAAAGAATAATGAGGAGGAAGCATTCCAGGTGGGAAAATGATAGAAACAAAGGCCAGTGAAGGAAAGCTGTCCGTTCTAATGGGCCAAAAGAAGTGAGGGAAAAAGATCTTCCACTGTAGCAGTCTGTCCCACATTTCCTTCAAGTCAGATGTCACAGCGCTCACTCAGTCGCTTGGGGTTGATGGAGACCGGAGCTGGTTAGAGCAGGGTGCTTATGAGATAAAGTCAAGGCCCAATATAGAGGATTTGACCTCTTTCTGCTCCTCCTTAGAGCACTCAGCCAACTCTGCTTGCCCATCTCACAGCTGTGTGACTCCAGTCCTAGAAGGGACTGTGAAAGAGTCAGAAGATGGACCAAAGAAAGTGCATCATAATGCTTAGATAATCTATAATTCCAATTCTTTAATTGCCAGAGTTAGAGGCATTAGCTTTGTCTACATTATCTGTGCGCTTCTCAGGTAATACTAAAGTGGGTCTTCGGTCAGCTTCTGTAAAGATGAGTGAAGTTATTTCAATCATAACTAGTTATCTAACTTGGCTATTGGAAGTCCAGGCACTTCACTCACTAGCTGCAGTTATTTCAGAATCCAAAGAAATATTTCCAATCCATTATTCATTCAGTTGATAAAAGTTCTTGAGCACTTACTACGTATTAGGTACTCCACTATTTTGGGAGAGGGGTGGTTTACCAAAATAAATAAGACATAACCCTGCCCTTTAGAAACTTACAGTTAGGTGAAGGAGATGTACAAAGATATGATTACCATACACAAGGAATAAAGATTAGGAAGAGTGTTTTGGGCTTTCAGATATCAGCCAGTGCATTTTACTGGCATTAACTAAACATTAATATCATTGTGAGTATGGGTGGAATGGGGCCAACAGAAAATAGTATTTGTAGAGACATTGGAAGGAAGAGGGGAAATAAGGAAAGGGTACCTTTGGGCTAAATATCTGTGACTGAACTTTACTCACCCATTTTAGAATAGGCAACAAACAGTCAGTGCAATCCTCAAGGGTTACTCCATTGAGGAAGCTGACTGCCTGATGAGTGATGCTGTGTTAATTACAAACATGCACGGCAACATCACAATAACATGACCTGAGGAGAATCCTCAAGTTGAGTTGCATGAGCAATGCAAAAGGATGAGTAGGCATGGCAAATAATTCTTCAGTAAAGCCTCCCCACCATTGTTAGTATGCTAAAGGAGATGGAGGTCCTATTAACAAGCTAAGACAAGTACAGTTTCCTTTTCTGCTGTGCATCTCACATATAGCATGTCAGCACATTGCAGAGAAAGTACATGCGGTATTTAGTTCCACTACACATGCCTTATTCTGATCACAGAGTTATCAGTTCTTCTAAGGAATCTGTTTCAAGTTGATATAATTATAGTGCATTTTGGTCAATCATGTAAAATAGCAATTTCCTTCTTCCCCTCCACTACATCTCAGCAACTTAAAAGGTTTCTCTCTTGGACTGAAGCTTTACCTCAGTGTTATCCAAGCTGCATTTTGTGCTAATGAATTCTCTCTATGCTCAGGGAGACAATTTTCTAGTTACGTAATACAACTCTTTGTAAAATTACAAAGGCAAAGCTACACTACTCTTGATTGTATTTAGAAGAAAAGGTTGGAGCTTTCCATTGTCCTAATAAAAGCAGCTTAGACACATCTGGAATCTCCATCTGAGTAACTTCTTTTATTAGAATGAGAACTTGCTGCCAAACTGGCAAAGTGGACAATGGAGTAAGATTCAAGGAATATTCAGTACCTAACATTTGGTCAAAATCAAACATAAGGGGACGAGTGTGCTTTAAACCCCATTCTACAATGCACAGGAGTCAGCAATCCAGTCTGCAGCAGTGCCCATCAACACGGTACCATACACACTTAAAAGATGGTGGGGAACAGGCCCTAGGATTCACCACACCATAAATATTAAGCCAGTTACTGTGGTAACCATCAGGGCAAAAAAGGGCTTCTCAAAGTTCACAAACAAATGCAAGAGCATATTTTTTAAAGCCAAAGAATGTTCTCACTCACTAAAATGTTTTCATCTAAACTGGTCAAGAACCATGACTATAGCATTTCTCTCTGTCTTAACTGCCATGTTCAGTCAGTGATACTAAATTTTAAACTAGTCTGTTGTCGATTCTTAGCATAGTTAGAAACGCCACTTTAGGTGTTCAGCTTCTCTCAGCACTTCTCAACTTACGTCCATGAGAAAGATATGTCCACAGACATAAAATTGCTTTGCTGCCTTAAAAGCCTTAGGATGAGGTTGTTTGAAAATTCCTAAATCCTGGATTTACGAAATGTCTTTATTTCCAAGGTAATTTTACATCTATCATCTTCTTTTATTCTTAAAAAATACTGATGGGGTCCATTCTGGGGAGTGGAGGCTTCAGGATATAGATATAGAAGCCCTGGTGGTGCCGTGGTTAAGTGCTTGGCTGTTAACCAAATGTTGGCAGTTAAAACCTACCAGCCATTATTATTATTTTTTTTTTTAATTGAACTTCAGGTGAAGGTTTACAGAACAAATAGTTTCTCATTAAACAGTAGTATACATAACAAGGAAAGGTCATGGAAGCTCCATAGACACTTCCAAACTCCCTGAGGGACTGAATTGCTGGGCGGAAGGCTGTGGGGACCATGGTCTCGAGGAACATCTAGCTCAATTGGCATAACACAGTTTATAAAGACAATGTTCTACATTCTACCTTGGTGAGTAG